CGTGGACTTTGCATGCGCAGCCGTCTGGTCGTGTTGAGCACGGCCTTAATCTCCGCGAAAAGGGGCTGTGTGACGCTACTTCAGGCGCCATCTGCTATCGCCCGAGAGTTGCCGGACACCATACATTGTTTGCTCACGCTCCTCACCTAATGAGACGCGGTTTTCTTTGCTACGCCACTGTATGATCAGTGCGACTAACTTCTTGCCGTATAGCCTATGGACCGCAGCTCGGTGCCCGCCTAGATCTCACCCACACGCAAATCAATATCGTAGGCTTGGCCGGAAACAGTGAGTTCCTCGTTCTGCGACGTTCTACCAATTCTGACAGCAATACTTCCAGTTGGCGTATATGGAACCGCGCCGATATGGGGCGGCATTGTTGATCGCAGAGGTCCCAGAATCATGATGGTCATCGGGTTCTTCTCCCTACTCGCCGGATATCTCGGAATCCGCCACTTCTACGATACAGGACTCCCGGAGGGACAGGAGATCGGTTTGATCGCACTATGTGCTTTGGTGTTCTGCGCCTTCCTGACGGGCATTGGCGGGAATGGAGGGCTAGTGGGCGCGATGAACGCAACTGCGAAGAGCTGGCCGGACCGCAACGTGAGTCTGTCAGGGTGTTGTCCGCCATGTCACTGACGACCAGTAATATGCAGCGCGCAACCGCTAACGGCATCGTGATCTCTGGGTTCGGGCTGTCTGCATTCCTCTTCTCCACCGTCGCGCATACGCTTTTTCCAGGCAACACCTCCGAATTCCTGCTGACCCTTGCAATCGGCACCTCCTTCCCCATGATCCTGGGTTTCTTCTTTGTCCATCCAATCCCACCGCCGCACATCGATTCGAACGCGAGGCTGGAGCACGGGAACACCGATACTACGGATTATGGCGTTGGCGAGGGCTTCCATGTCGGGACCCCAACAGCATACTCTGCGAACAACAACAGCCACACCCATCTCCTTGCGCAGGATGAAGACGAGGAAGAGCGAGACCCCGTGTATGAGCTCGATGAGGAGCAACCCTTGGTTTCCCCGTCGCATGTGCAGCCGACGGCAGACTACGACCGTCCCACCACTACTGACTCCGTCATGCTGAGCCCGCCGCACACCGGGCTCACCCGCCACCGCTCGACACGATCGGTTTCACGCCACAGCACGAACAGTCGCTTGAACAGGCCGTTAGACGGATCCGTGAATATCTACGGCAAGCGTTTGTTCACTACCGTTGACTTCTGGTTGCTCTTTAGTATCTCTTCTCTGCGTGAGTTCTGCATCACGATTGCGCCTGTGCCATGCTGACACGGGGTGATAGTGAGCGGTACTGGTATCATGTGTATGCGTCGCTCTCGTTTGTCTTCGTCTGCGATACCTGACTGTTGTTCTAGACATAAACAATGTTGGCGCTATCTCTCAATCGCTGTTTGCGTTCAACAACCCGGACTATGATGAGGTCAAGGCTGCGCAGTGGCAAGCGACGCAGGTCTCCACCGTCAGCATCATGAACTGTATTGGTCGTATTGCCATCGGTGTGCATCGTCCCCTTTGTGCACGAATAGCCCGTCTGACTGCTCCTTCTAGGGATCATCGCGGACTTGACCAAGGCCAAACTGCACCTCCCGCGGTCGTTCTGCGCAGTCATTGTGGCGACGACGTTCATCATATCCCAACTCACGTGCTACTTCATCGAAGACATCACCAATCTCTGGAAGGCAAGCGCCCTGCTCGGCCTCGCATACGGCGGGCTTTTCGGGCTGTTCCCCACTCTGGTCATCGAGTGGTTTGGACTCCGTCAGTGTTCCTAGTCGTTCCTCCTCTGTCACCCTTCTCACTAACCGCACCTTACAGAGCACTTCTCCGAGAACTGGGGCTTCGTCTCGCTCTCGCCCATGCTCGGCGGCAACATCTTCTCAATCGCCTTCGGGCGCAATCTCGATTCGCACGACGACGACAGTGGCGCCGGCTCGCCTGGGTCCGGCAACAGCACGCTCACGTCGACGATCGCCGCTATCACCCCCACGCTCACGAGCTTGTCTTCGCCGCCGTCGCCCACCACGGTCCCGATCGGCGCGCGCGGCGGGATCCCGTCCTCACACCACTGCATCATCGGGCGCGCATGCTACGTCGACAGCCTGAAGATGACGATCGTCGCGTGCTGCCTCGCGCTCGGGCTCGCGGTGTACGCGAGCTGGCGCGACCTTCGGAAGCAGAGGAAGTGGGCGAGCCGCGCTGAGGGACCGGCTGTCGTGGTCTGGGATAGTGAGGAGTGAGAGTTGGTAGGGGCTGGTAGGGGTATGTAGGGCACGGCGGCACGCAGGTGCGGGCGGTAGTGGCTGCTTCAGGTCTTGCGCTCGTTGAGCGTGTAGACGCATGAAACCATAGATGGGGTGATGATAGGCTTCACGGTATGACTCGCGATATAATAAGGTCTTTGGTACATAGCGGGCATAACGATAGCATAGTATGAAATGAGCTGGGGAAGTAGTCATGCGAACCTGAATGGTAGGGGACGGCGCGGTTGGCTTGCCACATCCTGCCTATCTTCTTGCAAGTGCATGAGACATAGCTTCGGCTGGACGTGACCAGCAGATGCAGAAATCAATATGCTGTTCCTGCCGCGTACGCTGATAAGGATGACAATCCATGGATTATGTGGTCTACTACGTTACAAGAAGGGTACGAGACTGCACAGCATTACCGCCAATCAATGACGTACATGAAGCGCAACTTGAAGACGTGACGAGGCGAGAGACATTGAGACAGCACGATGAGCATTGAAGAAAATAGAGAGAGCCGAACTAAGCGAGACATCAGAGAAGGTAGGGGATGAAATGAACCAGAGCGTGACACGCCAAAGCAGAAATCAACTCTAACCACCTACCACGGACAGATCTTCAACTCATACTGAGGCTTCTCACCTGGAGCACCGAAGGCGCACGTCCGGTGCCGCTGCTTGAACATGTCATCACGCTCAGCGAAGTTACAGCCGGGGTTGCGACACACCGCCTTGATCCGCTGGTGCATCGAGCGCACATGCTTGCGCAGGTAATCCCTCTTCTGCATCTCGCCGCAGCCGGGCCAGAGACACGGAACCTCTGCACCCAGACCCGGGTCCCTGAGGATCTGGAGCTTCGTCTTCAGGAAGCGCCACAGGTCATTAGCGGGCATCGGAGGGAGGGGCAAGTCCGCCCAGTAGAAGCGCATGATGGTGTCAACCGGGCGCCAGACGCCTTCTTCGTTGGACTCGGACTCCACTGACGTGATAGACGGTTGGGGACTGGAGGGGGCGGATATGCCGGACGGCGGGTCGGTGTCGATCAGATCATCAGGCCAATAGTCTTCGTCCTCGTCGTCGTCTGTGAGAGGGCCAGCGGCACTGGGCTCTGAGGCGTATTGAGGGAAGGATGGATACAAACCAAGGGACGATTCCAAGGGCGAAGGGTTAGCATGGGTATTAGGGGACACCCAGGCCGGTACGGGAGCATCGAACGGGAGGGGTGGAGCCATGGCGAGTAGGGGCGCACGGGGGTAGGCAGATGATGGTTGGGGCGACTGGTTAGAGCCTGCGAAATGCATGGTGGATGATGAGGGTGGGCACGTAGCGAAGGGGTCGAAAGGAGCAATAGAGGTGCCAGAGACGGGATCAAACCAATGGAGCGACGGGCTAGGGGGCCTGGTTAGAGCACTGCGAACGGGGAGTGCACACAGTACATACCTTGCCTGATCCTTCTCCGAGAGGTAGTCCCACATGTTGCCTCCGAACGTGACGCTGTCATGGTTGGCATCGAGTAGGTTCTTGTTCATGTCGGACAGACCGATGGTTGCGCTGTGGAGGGTGTGAGCGACGGTCGGGGAAGAGGTTGGTTAGGCTCACCTGTGCTTGGAGGTAGAGCGATAGAAGGACATGTTGTCTGTGATGACAGGAGTCAAGTGGTGAAGCTGGACGGGTTGTGAGAGGAGTTCGATGGAGAGATGTGTTGGTTGAGGTAGGGAATATATACTCCGGAGCCGTCCAGAGCCAGAGACCATGAGGCCGTTACCGGATACCGTCCTGATGCAGAGCTACCCGGGCGCTTGGATGCTTGCACAAAGGAATCCTTCTGGTTATTCACCATGACCCCTTCCAGAAGTCGCGCTCTGGCTGGACAAATAAAGAGCGCTTTCTACCCCGCCGGGCCAGCCAAAGTATCGCTGCGTCGCCTGGCCCCATGGATAGGGTCCTGGATACCTTTTTGCTTCCAGGCGTGTGTTTCAAGGGGACTACCAGGCCAACATCGGGGTCGACGTTCCAATAGGCACTCTTGATGCAGTGACGTTGACGGTAGGAGAGCGGAGCTATGGGCGATAGCATCTCCATGTCGCGGTCTCAATCTTGGTGCGGACAGCTCTGGTACGATCTTGGGGCCAGTTATGTGACTCTATTCAGGTCGAGCTAGTGGGCCATGCGGGGGCGACATTCCTACGCACAAGGCTAATTCCCCTGCTACTCGATTGTTAGTGAGATCAGCATTACCCACTGAGGGGGTATGTAGTCTAACCGTTGACTCGTGAGATTCACCAGCTCCGTTCACGGAGGCTGGCCCTATGACTTGCATCTCGGATACACACTACATAGTCTCCATTCCGCGAGTAGAATCTGCAAATATCAGAACTCACTGTTGCTTTTGACTGCGGAAAGGCGTTGGTTACAGAGCAGCGACAGTCCACGCCATCGTTCAAACGTTCGATGACTTACTAGTACTCCTGGGCAATTTCGTTGAAGTTGCTCCCTGTACGAGCGACTCGGGTGTACATGCAGGCTGCACTGACCGTGCCGGTGAGAGTCTCTAGACTCGGGTCCGCAGGCGCCCGGCGGGAGTTGCGCCGGACCAGGTTGATACTGCATCTAACTTGCTCTAGTAATCCACTCCAACAATAATCCGGGGAATACTGTGAATGACCAGGGCAAGTTCTATTCGTCGCTGTTCCTGTTGTAGAACGAATGTCTGCGAAAAATAACAAAACCTCTCGCGGGACTCGAACCCGCAACCTCCAGATTCGCTGAATAGAAGTCTGACGTCATAACCATTAGACAAGAGAGGCCTTCACTCCAGGCTCCCACAAACAGCTAGTAGCGTCACGAGTTCCAGCCTGAGAGTCCTGCCAGTACTAGTTTGCGGCGGAGTGCGTTGCATTAGTTGGTGTTCGTTCATCAACCATTCTGCACCCTCGCCTGAATCGTCTCGGTGTCGTAGTACCTCGCAACGGATTGAATATTTGCGGTACGCCGAGAACATCGACTCCGAAACCTTTCGCATTTGGGCGACGAACGGATGACCATATTATTGCTACCAGCCACCATCAACGGGAGATATACTTACCAGTACTATACTCTTCGATCGGTGCGCCAGGTCTCGCTATAATACCAATCAATCTTATGTAAGGACGGCTCTTGCTCCGCTCTATCCTTATCTTGTTATTGCGAGTGGCAGATCCCTCATCCGCAAACGACCAGTTCCGGCGTCGCAATCAATATTTATCCTTGACCGAGCTCATGACGCTTCGTGTGCGACGCGTCCCCTTTGCCTCCTCCCTCATTGTGAACGGGCAGTCATGGCAGCTTTACCGCTGGTCACGGTAGCAGACGTCCTGGGGGCGATGCTGGTCGAGATTTGCTTTGCGTGCGCGTAAGTCTTGGCTTACATCTTCAGGGCGCGTACATCCGCACTCTTCCACCCGCGCAAGCTCACTCTGCGATCCAGCCTATACGGAATAACGACTATCCAATCGTTTATCTACTACCAGACATCTGCATCTCGGAAGGACACCCGAAATATGAAGCTGACCGTAGGAGCAGTTTGGTCAGCATGTCTATCGATCCCATCTCGGAGGCTATCATCGGCTGACTCAATGTTGTTTCTAGGTTCCTGGAAAGCCTGCATACGGCTTTCTGTATCCATCTGATCTACGAATATACAATTCAGCACTTCGGAGATTACGATTTCCTCGAGCACATCAACTGGTCAGTATTCCCTTGTCTAGTCGTATGCTCAATCATCTGATATGCTTCTGTAGGGGAGCCGGTGTATGTGTGACCTATTTCTACATCGATAAGGTACTAATGGACGCCCTGCATTCATCAGACAACGGTGCTTCTCTCGGCGAGTGCTACTTATTGACCCTGCCGTGCTATTGTATAGTGCTCATCTTCATATACAGGTATTAGTCTCTGCTCTCGTCCACGGGTGCGTCTTATGCTGGTCATTCTGACTGTTCAACGCTCATCATGCGCGTAGGTTCTACCTCAAGAAGGTCTGGATCAGTGCGTTACTCCAATGCGCCGCGCTGTGACCCCAAATTGACATCTTCCTTCATCAAGCAACCAAAGGGTCTATCCTCGTCACAGCGCCCTTGGTATGTCTATGTCTTGAAGCTAGCGCATACGCTGACCTTGAGGTGTCCAGGCTATCTTGGCTATTGCGCGTTTTGGTACGCGACCTCATGGACTACCCCATTGTCGTGCTAACTGGGTCTCAGCTAGTGGAATCGCTTCGTTTGGTCTAAGGTCAGCTGGGTTAGCCTGACCGTTGTGTTACATGTACTGAACGTACCCTGCAGCCTAGAGAACACACAATGGCGACAGTTCAGGTTTAACATATCGCCGTTTGTGAGTCCACGTCACAAACATTCCCAAATTTCTCCAGCTGAAACGTTCCATAGGTCGCCATGACAATCGGTCTTGCCTGCGCAGCTGCGGTAGATATTGCCATCGCACTCACCCTCGTATATCAAGTCTGGCGCGCGGAGTCAAAGTACGTCTACGCTCTCTTCACCTCCAGAATCCTACCTCTAAGGTTTACTACAGAGGGGAGCGTCCACCAGGCAACCGAGTGGACGTCATCATCGCCTATGTGATCGAGACTGGTTCAGCCACTGCGTGAGCATCGTTGCTCTCCTGTGTGCGCTTCCAGAACACACGATATTGACTCTGACTCCTCTGTCAAGCCTCTTTTCGCTCCTGAGTGTCGTGATGGTAGGCTCTTGTCTTCATGAATCGACTCCCTCAACCTGACCCTCCATCCCTTTCCGATTAGTTCATAGCTCAGCGCCACAGCCTCGTGTTCCTCGGCTTCATCGAGATGCAGACAAAGCGTGAGTTCTGTCCCTCACCCCGCCCGAGTCTCTATGCCTTCAGGTCGCTCACAGCCTTGTTCTCCTCCAGTCTACGCCAACGCACTCCTCGCAAGGTACGGCGTCTCTACTCCAGCGCCGCCTCCCCCCTCCCCCTCTGGCCCGCTGACCCTTCCACGTTGCGCAGTCTCAATGTCCGCGCCCTGACGTCCACCAACGAGACGAGCACGTCGCAGCTCGGGACATACCAGCTCCGGCACCGCCGCACAATCCCGCGCCTCCAGTTCCGCTCGCAGGACACGATCGCGAACGTAGGTGATGTCGTCCTTTTCCCTCTTCCCTATCTCGATCCGCGGTCCGCCGTCGCGACCCATCCTGACTCGCTATACCACAGGTGACGATCTTCCGGGAGACGGTGATCGTGCGGGAAGACAACAACGATCGCCAGGGCAGGAACGAGTCGGATGATCGCGACTCGAAATCGACGGAGGTCGCGGTCGGGTCTCCCGATGACGGGAAGGGAAAGAATAAGCTGGTGTAGGCGAGAGGGAGCCGCTTAGTGAGCAGAGAATGGTTCATCAGCGGTAGCCGTCTCTGTGTTTACTTTCACCATGTGGTCGTGTTGGCTATACTAGTATGATGGTCGTGTTGTTTCTAGGATCTGCGCTCTGCAGTACGTCTGCCTGCGTCCGCGAGCAACTTCGGTGCATATTTCATCCGATGAATTTGCGAGCCTGTAATCCAGGGGTGCCTAAAATATTCGGTCGGAAATTGGGTGACTATCCGTAAGGCACCCTGTCGCTTATCGGAACCAGTTCTGAACCGTAACACACGGTTGGACCAAATCCATGAATTTGAGTCTAGGTTTTGAATGGCGGGATACGACGCGTATAGTTGATCCTCAGACCCGCATGCCATATACAGGCTGGCCAGGTCCTCGCTGACCCGCTTAAGACCGTTTGAGACCTAGTATTCCTAAATCATGGTACACGCTCAGGTGAGCCCTGGGTATCTACACGCCCAGGTGTGCGCCGGGAGCCTGGGATATCTGGTCGGAAATTATCTGTGGGTGCAACTCTGGATATTGGGCGGTGATCTGGCGGCCGGCGCCTAGTCATCGAGCCCATCTCGCTTTGCCCGATATCTGCTCGATGTCGGGCCCATGACCCTCCAGTATTGAAGCGCCGGTCGGAAATTATCTGGCTGCCCCGAATTCCCAGATATCGGAACCGACCCAGGGCTCACCTGAGCGTGTAGGGATCCTGGGCGGTCAGATAATTTCTGACCGGCGCTTCAATACAGGAGCGTCATGCCCCAGACATCGAACAGGCGTTATGGGCGTGAGAGCTAGGCGCCGGCGGCTAGATACCCGTCCAATACCCAGTGAGTTGTCAAGAGATAACTTCCGACCACATATCTCTCCCGGTGCACTGTACTTTAGTCGTATGGACCTCAAATATCTGATCCTGAGTGGGTGTAGCCGGGAACTCTCATGGATGACAAAGCTTTCTATATCAAGTAATTTGCTTACGTACGCTATCGCTTCCGGTGGGTTTCAATACTAGTCTCCAGTAGTCTCCGTTGCTGACCATAATAGAAAAGGATGATATAGTCGATCCTTTTCTTATAATGCCGTTGCTGACCATAATAGAAAAGGATGATATAGTCGATCCTTTTCTTATAATGGTCTGCTCGCGTACGCGTCGTTTACCTGATCCTCGAGATAGTGCCTTCCACTTCAGCGCTTAACGAGTGACTGGCCAATCACAGCCTCGCGACATCAGCGAGATGACGGTGTTGTTATGTCAGATACATTACGTTGTAGGGCTCTAGCACTCGAGCAGGCTACAGTCTGCAGACCCGGGACCGTTGCCTATGTACGCAGACTCGCAAATCCCAATGAACACAATCTCCTAGGAATACACACTCAACCAGGCGCCGCCTGTCGTCGTCCGATGGCCCGCGTTTGACCCGGGCGCACTCTCCATTTGTCACGCAGTGTCTGCTCAGACGTCGTATAGCGCAGTGCTTTTGAGGGAACCGGAGTCGGAGGCAAACATGTTCCTTTAGAGGGATCGTCCCGCAACAGTGACAAAGTTTTTCTGGCACCAGTAGCGATCAAGTCGGAGATCGAGCGAGAGCCTGCCGCAGGCACCATCCAGAAGTTGTGACTCGGAGGTGTTTAGGCCTCAGGCCGTACGATGCATATGAGAATATCGCGGCCCAGAGCACAACATCCGACGGGAGACCTGCTGACGAAGGCATGGTAGACGTGGACCAGGAGAAGCGGGGCGAACGACGCGTCAAGCTGAGGTATACTGCCGCTACAGTCTGCTACAGTTGTGGGGACCCAGACGCGTTGTTGTCGTCTATTGACGTGTAAACTACGGCACGTGCCACGGCAACTGCCGAGTCCGGAGGACGGGGTAAACGCTCCAAACCGATAAAGACTAAGTCTCCAGATACTCTGTTAGTATACAGTCAGATATCTCGTATAGTATAAGCGCTCAAATATAAAGCTCGGTCCCCATCGTCAGTGCACGTGGTCGAACCCCATTAATCGAGCCAATACCTCTCCAGTAGAGTGGCTTCAGCCTTGTCTCCTCACTTTCACTCGCACCACAATGCTTCGTGAACATGCACTTCCAATGCTTTTGAACAGGAAATTGTGTTGGATTTACGTCGTCAACATTGGGAGGCTGCTTCAAATTCGGTAACAATGGTGAATACATATTGAACCCTATGATCGTTCCCTCCTCCTCCTCCTCTTCCTCTCCCTCTCCATCCTCCTCCTCCTCCAGCATGGCTCTCGTTAACCAGTCATTGATATCCATTGCTCAGTCATCCTGCGTGCCTGCACCAGTGAGCTTGACATCCCCCGTCATCCTGTTGCTGAGCTCGATCCTCGTCCCTACCTGGAGTGTTGGTCACGCTTTGCGATATTCATACACGGCTACTCTCTGTCCATGAAC